CCTTGCTCTCCTCGTTGCGGGTCTCTTTCTTCTTTTACACCGGCCCGACTGTGAGTACAGTTGGAAATGTGACTACAGGTTGGTTCACTAAATGTTCTTCTTTTAAAGTTTCATTTACTTCTTCTTCTTCCCCCAACTTAGGGTCTTCTTGCTCATTTTCACTAACTCTCTTTTTTTCACACGGGTTCTCTAAAATCCTCCCACTCCTTAAGGTTGTAATAGCCTTGGTATTTTCAGGCTGAGGCTTCTTAGGAAGTGGTTGAACTTGTTGTGGAGGAAAACCCAATGCCTGATTTCTAGGACTCACAACCGGTTGACTTGGTAATTGCCCTACTCCTCTCATCTTCTCGGCTTCGGCTAGCTGTCCTATTCGGTTTTCTAATCTATCGATGAATTCCTACTGATTTAGGATCAGCTGTTGAAGCTTCATGAATTGGTCATCGACGGTATGGGTTTGAGGAGGTTGTGGGTAAGCCTGATATGGTTGAACCAATTGGTTCCTATTGTACACTTGTTGGAATGAACTCTATACTTGTGTCCTCTGAAAATTTTGGGCCATTGAGTTAGATGGGTTGTATTGCTGTTGGGACTGTGTATAGGTTTGACATGGTTAAGCCATTAGAGTCCCAGGGTAATCATTGTACTCCCAACGAGCCTGGGCTTCAGACCATTGAGAGTGCATATCTAGTAGGGGGTTTTCTTGGACTTGGGCCCTATAAATGAAGTTGGGCTGATTTTCCCACCCAGGGTTATATGGACTAGTGAATGGGTTAGCATTGGGTTGGAAAAATCTATTGACCGCAAGTACTTGTTTTGGAATAACTGATTGACATGGGCCTGCCACAGGGCACTGGCTGACATGATGGGCTGGGCTGGGCTTGCACAGATGGAACATGATGGATAGGCTGACAAGATTGGGTATGGGCCACTTTGTTGAGGATATGCAAGGATTTGGTCAATCCTGTGGGCCATCCCATTAATCCTATCTAGTTGTCGAAACGCATGGTTCCAATCTATTTGTGGCTCAGGTTAGAAGTAGTTTTTCATTCCACAAACTCTAGCCATTGAAGTCATTTTGTTTTAACCCCTTTTTTTTGAAATTTGAAATTTAAATTTTGAATTTTAATTTCAAATTTAAATTTTGAATTTTAATTTCAAATTTAAATTTTGAATTTTAATTTCAAATTTAAATTTTGAATTTTAATTTCAAATTTAAATTTTTTATTTTAAATTCTGCAATTTAAACTCAAATTTGAATTTTTAATTTTTTTTTCTTTTTTTAATTCAAAATTTAAATTTTTGAAATTTAAATTCAAATTTTAAATTTTAAAATTTTAAAAAATGCAAGCAAATCAACCACACGACCTAGGGCTGGCCTAGGGTTTCCTAAACTAGTGGTTCAACCAATGTGAATCCTTTTAGGTTCACTTGGAATTACACCACTTCCTTCGGTTAGCCAGGTAAGAGGTGAGGATGTGGGAGGCTCCCCTTGCTCTCACAAGGACCTAATTAAGTAACCACAAAACCCTTTTTGGCGTAGCCATTTAACCTCTTTCCTTAGACACCAACCGCCAGTTATGGAAAGTAATTACAAGCTTTCCTAAAATTCACCACACCTTTGAACCAAGTGTGAGGCTTCCCTAAAGGATCTTGTTATCCAAATTTTAAATTAGGGTTTAGAGCAAACCGCACGTGAAGGGTGGTGATTTTTGGGCCAAGGAAGGGTGATGAAATCCCGACTTTATCTTATTTAAGTTGGTGCCCTTAAATGGATTAATGAAACAAAAACAAAATAAACACAACAAATGCAACTAACTACAATACATGAACAATTATTTCTAAAATGCAATTCAGCAATATAACATAAAAGAATAAAATAAACTAAGCACAAGAAGCAATTAAAATAAAAAAAAAACCTAGCACATTCACAACTAACGAAATAATTTCAACAATTAAATAAACCTATATGATGCATGCTCTAGAATATGAAACCCTAAATGTTGGGATACAAATGCAAAACTTTTTTTTTTAAATATTAATTAATTATTTTTTATTTTTTATTTTTTTTGAAATTCGAAATTTTAAATTTAAATTTCAAATTTTGAAATTCAAATTCAAATTCAAATTCGAATTCAAATTCAGATTTGAATTAAAATTAAAATTTAAATTCAAATTAAAAAATTTAAACAATTTCCTCTTTAACAATTAATTATTCAATTAAAGCACTAATAAAAAGGAAATTAAATAAGAAAACAAATAATTATAACAAGCAAAAAATAAAGAAATAATTATGCTAAAAAGATTAACAACTACCAAAATAAATCCTAAATAAGAAAATTGCTATTCTAAAAATTGAATAAAAAATAAAATAAACAAAATAAAATTATGCGGCAAAAAAAATAAAAAAAACGAATTTTTTTTCAAATAAAAGGAAAACAAAAACCTAATAAAATAGAAATTCACACAAGAAATTAAAATGAAGAAAGAAAAATAGATTTAGAAACAAAACTAAAGAAAAATAATACTAAAGGAAAATAAATTGGATTTAGGAAAAAAATAATTCAAAAAATTCAAAAATTACTATTCTACCAAAAAAAAAGAGTTTGAAAATAAAAAGAAGAAAATTAAAAATAAAATGGAACGACTACACCTGAAATGCAATCCAATTTTTCTTCTCTTCTCTTCCGTCCCGTAGTCCCGCAATGCTTCGATACCCCACCTTTTGCTATTTCGTCTTGTAAAATGAAAGAGAAACAAGAATTAAACTGAGATAATAGATCAAGTAATCAAACGAAAATAAAAAATAATGAAATAGATCTGGATAAAGCAAATAAAAATTTTTCTCCGTTTCTTCTCCGACAACGGCGCCAAAAACTTGGTGTGTCCGGAAGCGCGTCGTTAAACACTCTGGAACACCAATTTAAACATTTATAATTTTTACCATTTCTCAAACAACTACTAACGTAGTAAAGTGATGAGAACGAGTCGTATCCATAGGGAAGCGAGGGAAAAATTAATATGTACTCAAATCCGGACAAGAGAACACAAGGGGGAGTTGTAGAAATATAAAAATTAATTAATTAAAATAGAAAAATATATAATTTGAGCAGTACTAAAAGTTGAAAGTGCAGAAACATAAATAAATACAAAAATAAATAAACGAAAGAAATGAAATAAAAATTTGTAATCCGATTAGAGGTAGCAATCTCCAGATCTCTCCTTTGACGCTCGAACTTCTCGAGCTAGGTCTTCCGTCTTACCTGGCCGATTTCCAGATCTACAGAAAAGAAAGTGAAGATCAAACGGCATGAAAATAAATTGTAGAAAGGAAAAGTGGTTGGGATCCGATTCTAGAGGTGGTAGTAGTGGTGTTGGCGAACTACAAGTAGGAACCCCTCCTCTTGCCTAGGCATCCTCCTCTTCCTCTACCCTTGAACTTCTCAAGATCAATCTTCCATCTTGGGCGTCCTCCTCTTCCTCTGCCCTTGAACTTCTCAATATCAACCTTCTGTCTTACCTGGGGGCAGAATTCAACCCTTTCGTAGGAGCCTTTAGGTCCTTTTTATAGAGAAGGGTGGATATAATTAGGATTAAAAAGAAAGAGGGGGGCGACAGCTGGGTTTTAGCAAAGATATGGGTGCCCTATGGTTTCTAATGAAGGGTTAGGATGGTTTTGGGTTGATCCTAAGGCTGAGAAGAGAAGGAGAGGGCACCCAATATTATGTATGACTGAGATTTAATGACTAAAGGCTGAATGGTGAAGATTAGAAGTTAGGTGGCTCCTAGGGTTAGAATGCTAAAAAGAGAGTGTCCTAGAATGGATGGTGGAGATTAGAAGGGATGGAAGGTGAGGATTTAGTAGTTAGGAGCGGCTAAAGTTTGTTAAGAGTGAAAAAAATGGGTTAAAAGGCGCCCTCGGGTTTGCTAAGGCGTGGGGAGCATGCTAATACAGTAGGAGGGGCGCCAAACTGGGTTTAGCAGCTAGGAGGCGCCCTCCTGCATTTGGTTTGTCACAAAAACACCCCTCTCTCATCTGGATTTCCCACTAGTTTCCCAAAATTTGCATTTCAGCCATGAAAACTTCTTAGTTTTCCCCAGAATTTGCACAGAGACCCTTAGAGGTCACAACATTGAATTTAACTGGGAAAAGGGTATACTTTGACTATTGTAAGGCCGAAAATACCCCTGAATTGATGCCCTTAAGGCATCAAAATGTAGAGTTATCAAAGACCTCGACGGCATGCCCATACAAAGGAGTTGGAATACCAGGAACCTCTGAATGTACTACCAGTGGTTCAATATCAATAAAAGAATTTTTGCTCAACAAGATGATTGCTCGGCACACTGCACACCTACACACCGCGCACATTTTGTGCCACACACCTCGCACACCACACGACGTACATTGCACACACAAAGCACACTTCACAGCACGCATTGCACCGCGCACACCAACTTAGCTGACCACTTAACAACCAGAGCCCATGACGCATAGTTCGGTAGCGCATAGCCAATCAAGCAAACTGACTCAACTGTCGACGACCAGAGCCTGAAATGGAGAAGAACGTTCTCGTCTCTCGAGGCCCGAGGGCAGTCATCGTACTTCGCACACCCTGTTGACATACAATCAAACGAGAGCTAGCCGAGGAACGACCAACTCTCGAAGAGCCAAAAAGCTCACGAGACTGATAACTAAGCTCCCATAAGAGATGAGAGCTCAAAGATCTCGGCTATTCTCAACCTCAGCCATGGTAAGGCCGAAGCATACAACTTAACAAAAAAAGAAGAAAAAGGGCAGTACACAAGCTCGGAGCAAGAAAAGCATACTTTCATTAAATAGTTAAAGTCTATACATCATTTTAAGCTTGGCATACCAAGCCATTTACAAGAAAAAAGGGAGAGAGAAAGGTCAACATCCCAACAACGGCAATAGAATAAAGTGAGACAGAAGCTCGGTCAAACAGTGGCAATAGTAGCTCAGCCTTTAGCGGGTTAGTTACCTCAACCTCCTCAAGCACCATTGTAACTATGACATTGCCCTCGGTAGGGGTTTCGGGATCGTGCAGACTCAGACCCTGCATGACCTTAGCCGCATTGGAAAGACGGTGTAGGACCCTATCCCAGCAAAGATAGAACCTAGTCTCCCAGGAGGCCAAAGCAAAATCGTCCATCTCATCCTGGTACTCCTAGGAAGCCTTGAACCGAGCAACCGCCTCTGCCTCAACCTGGGACACCCGTTCATCAGCCTCCTTCCTTAACGTGTCCCACTCGGCCTTCAAAGTGACGATGCAATCCTTCAGATTACGGATTGTATCAAATCGCTCATCGATCCCGTACTTCAGATCGGCCACCTCACCCTCCAGCTCGGTCGTCCAGGTCTTCACAGCTTCGAGATCGGTCTGACTATACTCATAGAGGCGCCTCACTGACCGGAGTCGATCAACTAGAGCAATCATCGTACAAGCGTTCTACAGGAGAAATCAAAATCAGTAAGAGTAATCGACTAAGGCAAACAACAATACGAGCAAGAAGACTTACCCCAGCTGCCTGAAACAAGAGCGTGCTCTCCAAAGTGCCGCTCATAGTGTTGAGCAGTTCACGTGACAGTTCCTCGGGGCAAACGCGTCACCGTGGCACATAAAACCTAGATCCAGCACCTTCCTCCGGTGTGCTAACCCACCAAGGGGAAGACCGAGCAGTTGTGGTGCCATCTTCCAAATTGACTAGCACAACCTCCTCCATAGGTGACCCCGCCCTCTTCTACAACCGAGGAGTGTGCTCCGCGGATGTCAAGCGCACCTCGATAGAATGGGGTTGGGCTCCTTGTGTCCCTCGAGACCACACCTTCTCAGTCGTGACTCTCATGTGGCGGTTGATCTCCTTGCGGTTTGCCATCTCAACACACGTGCAAGCCAAACAAGGAATTAGTACAAGTAATACAGCTCGGTAAGGAAGATAACGGAAAACCAACACGACTAAGAGACCGGCCTCCTCGCTCATTAACCCGACACTGACCAACTTCGTGAAGGACATGTAATCCATCACATCAACCTCCTCGACCATCTCTATGGCCGCTCTTTCTTCTTTGGAAAGCCAACTTAGATCAGGTTGCTTCACCTTGGTCCTCGACTCCCAAATCTTGGCCAACAAAGGCCAGCTCCCAAGACAACGCACAAAGAATAATCTCTCCTTCTAGTGCTTCACCGAGGTCGAGGTCCTGACCAGCACTTCAATCCCTGGCCTGGTCAAGAAGTAGTAATACCCCTATTGGTGATGCTTCAGATTCAGGAAATAGTTGATCATCCCTAGAGTGAGCCCAAGGTTGTGGATAGAGCAGTACAACATCAAACTAATCAAAAACCTAAATGAGTTCAGCATCAGTTGTACCGGCGGTACATGATACCACCTGAACACCTTTACAAGCCCTTCATGCAGTGGGAACCTCAGCCTGGCCATTAGGCTGTGATCATACACAAAGAGCTACCCAAGCAGAGCATCTATGGGCCTCTCACCAACCATAGGATACCTAGTGTCAAACTCGGTGGGAATACAGTGCAGAGCCCGGATTCGGCCAACATCACCGAGTGTTAGGCAGCGCGACGTGGTCCCAAACTGACGATCGGCCCTTACAGGAAGATCGGCCAACCTAGTCGACGGTCCTACGCCGACCACTTTGACCTTAGCCGATCGCCCAGGACGGACTCCCACAACGTCTTCGGCCTCGGCCCCTAGGCCACCAGCCTCAAGAATAACGAGCACAGCAGTCTCAATAAGAGACCCCAACTTAGACCCAGAACTAGAAATGGAAGTAGATGAAGCCAAAGAAGAGGAAGAAGATTGAGAAACCTCAGCAAATGAGGAAGACATCTTACTAGACATCGAAGGTTAAAATCGTAGAACTGAAGCAATCACCAAGCAGTCGAAGACTACCTCTCGCCAAGCTTTGAGAGCATTCCCTTCACAAATGACAAAGGGCACATTACTTTCCCCGCTTTTATAGGCACTCAAGGATCCAAACCAAAGTAGATCAATGACCCATATCAGGCACTGCTCTCTGACTACCCGTTTCGGAGATGGTACGAACGTCGACCGGGTTGGTTCAACCTAGAAAACTGATCTGACCTAGGTCCTTCAACCCCATCAATGCGCTCAACTAGAAGCAACTTCACATTCCTCGGCCAGGGATCAAATAGCTTTTCCACGCAACACCATGGCTGAGCATTCCTTTCCTAGACTTTGGAACTGGGGGAGTGGTGTTTGGGTTCTAAATTTCAACGTTAAGTTCCTCAGTCGAAATCCGACGATCACTTCCATGGCACTGCATAGTCAAGCATCAACCAAGTTCAGATTCCAAAGCCCAACGTCAAGTTCCTCAGTCGATGACCGAAGCACTCTTTCGCACTACACCTTGGTCGAACACTTCACTCCTTGACTTTAGAACTAGGGGAGTGGTGTTTGGGTTATGGATGAGCTGGCTCTGGATGCCACATGGCACCTATGTGGCTACCCTATCACCTCAGCCACGCCAGCGCCACGATAGCTTTGCAACCCGCCTTATCACCTTGGCTACGACAGCACTACGTCATGCCTTATCCATCCAGCCACGTCGACACCACACCATATGGATAAACGCAACCGAAATAGGACATAGGATAGGAACAGCCCCATTGGGGATTAGGTCTTATCCTGAAGACCTCGGTAGTTAACCTCATCCCGGTAACCACAGAAACCTCATCCATCCAGGACACGGATCTCTGGCTATAAAAAGGTACCTCTCGCTTAAGGTAAGGGATCTAACTTCTGACTCTCATGTTGTTACCCTGCTCGGCCCGACTACCTATTGCCTTCTACTAACTTGAGCGTCGGAGTACCTACCTGGGATTAACTCCTCAGGCCTCTGACATGTTTCTTGCTCACAGATCTCATTGCACAGCTTCGTCCTTCCACCTCGGCTCTACCCAACTAGCAAGGACTATTTGACTGTGACCTCGGTTCTTGCACTGCCTAGGATCGAGCAGCATCAACTAGCTTGTCCAAACAGCTCAACCAAGCTAATCCATTCATTCCCTTCACTGACTTATGTGTTAGAGTGCTCCTCCCTAGGAAACCACCTTGGGACTTTTGACCTTTTATGTGCGCCAAGTTTTTGGATCTCAACTTAACTCATCCAACTTATCAGGACACTTCATCTTTTGCTTGTCCACTTCAACTCAGATAGTATCATATTGGCGTTGTCTGTAAGTAATGAAGAATGTCCCTGATTGCTCACACACTACTCTCCCTCTAGGGCTCTCATACAGGGTGTGTTTCACCACCTTGTGATCCAAAACCAATCAGTGATATAGGAGCAATTCAACTCCCCTTGTCATTATGTTGAAGACCTCATTGCCTCACTTTAGCCTCCCACATAACATGGCATGATGCTTCGAGTTCCTAATACTGTCAATGCACCTCCTGCAAACAATGTGCCCCCTCTAGCCAATCCTCATGTCTAGGACTGCAAAGGGCATAGAGATGAGTCCCACATTCAAGTGTATAACTAAAATGAGAGAAGTGTCTAGGGCCTCAAAACCATCAAGGATAACACTATTCACATGCCAAATCTAGCTTGGTTAAGGACAAGCGTACTCCATTCCCAAAGTCGAGCAAGCAAGTTGGCATGGACAATGAGATCTAAGACATGCATGAGCGCTTGAATGGGCTTGAGAAGAACCACCTTGATGGCTACACACTAGCTGGAAGAACTTAGATTAGAAAGGAGCCACTCTACACATAAGATATCATGAAGGTGCTCATCCCAATTAAATTCAAGACATTGCAATTCGAGAAGTATGACAACACTAGTGACCTTGTAGATCACCTTAAGGGATTAAAAACTATCATCCTCCCACATGAGGCCTTAAATGCATTGATGTGCAAGGTGTTTGTTTCCACACTCAAGAGATCAACTCAGTAGTTCTCCATACCGCTGCCTTGCTCTATTGCCTCTATGAGCAAGTTCGAGGACCTCTTATTAGCTCAGTTCATTAGTAGCTGATGTCATTGGAAAACAACCACAACCTTATGCAGTTGAGGCAACAAGACAATTTGTCCCTTTAGAGTCCTTGGAAAGGATTAATATTGCTGAGTCCATCCAAGTATAGAACTTGGATTAGTCAGTAGTAGTGACCACCTTGATGTAGGGCTCCAAGCCTCCCACTTCAATTTTTCTCTCGAGAACAAGGCCCCATGACACATACCCAAGCTCATTTCCAAGGTTCAAAAGTATATCGATGATGAGGAGGCATAGGCCAATCGAAGAGAGGCTAAAGAAAAATGTGCCCAAAAGAATAAGGAGTTTAACAATCACCACTTCAGGGCGAGATAGAAAGAGGTTGAATTGGCGCTAGGACAATAGGTCGAGGAGTGCCCTATTGACCTTCTAGAACTTCATGACCCTCAATGCACCTTGAGATCATCATGCAAGTCAAAGATCGACGCTTCATCAAGTGGCTTGAGAAGATGAAGTTCCATAGAAACAAGAGCTCCTAGGACAAGTACTATAAATTTCACCAGGACTACAACCATGAAATAGAGGATTGTAATGACCTTTGAAATCATATGAAGAACCTCATCCGATGAGGTTACCTAAGCAGGTACATCACCAACCACTTAGACTTATGTAAGACTAGCCAAGGCCACATTGATGCATCTGGTGACTAAGATCCCCCTATTAGAGTCATCACGATTATCTCTGGGGGAACAACAATAGGGCAAAAGCTCCTCCACCTAGAAGGCATATGCTCGGATGAACTAGGTTGAAGGTTGGGCACAAAAGAAGCTCAAGGTGGACACTCCTATTACATTCACCAAGGATGATTTAGACGAAGTCCAAACACTCCACAATGACACACTAGTAATCTCATTGCAAATTATGAAGTGTGTCGAGTCATTTTGACACAAGTAGCTTGGTTAACATCATCTTCGACGAGGCATTTTAGAGAATGAAGATCAGATGGGAGTATCTACAGCTAGTCAACACCTCTCTAATCAATTTCTTTGGTGACAACATGAGGCTAAAGGGGAGGATTACTTTACTGCTCGTGTTGGGGGAATTGAAGGACCTTAGAAGATCACACTCTACATAGACTTTTTGGTAGTGAAGGTTCCATTACTATAAAATGTCATCCAT